TTTTTTTTCATTTTTAATACTATTTACTTATATTTTGAAAGCAAAATATAAAATTTAAAAGTCTACAAAGATAATAATTCAATATCATAGAGTAGAATGCTGTATAAAGATGGCTTTCACATATCATTAGAACATTCATCTATAGGGTATCTACATCTTGGCAATCTGATAATTCATATTGCACGATCTTTGTTTTCCGTTTCATTTTCATTTTCTTTTGCTGCTGCTGTTTGGTTTTTGTTCATGAACTTCAGCAACGTGCTGCTGGCACACAGCAAATGTTGTTCACAAAGCGTCGGCATTGTTGAAGATGTTGACGCTGATGACGAGGCTGAAAAATGGGACTGAGGGTGGCTATAGGGGGTTGGGGGTGTATAGGAACGTGGCTGTCAAGTAGCTGACTAATATTTTTGTTAACTTGCAAATTGCTGGCTACACCAGAAACAGCAAACTGAGCGGAGCTCACAGCCTGTGTATGTGCGTGGGTGTACATGTGTGTGTGTGTGTGTGTGTGAATACTTATACAATAGTCATTCATTCAGCTTGCTGCTCGAATTGCATTGTGAGCCTGTGCCTGTGCGTTCTGCTTTTATGACAACATTTTTTAGCAGCGAATTTTTAACAACATTTTGAAATTTACATAAAGCAATTCTTGAGAAAAACACAAATAGCTAAAAAGCTATAATAGAAACAACAACTGAAAACAAGCACATGTCGTCGTTGTCGTCGTCTTTGGGAAATTTCTCAGCGCAATTATTTATTTTACATATTAAGCATTTGCAGGCAATCGAACGGAACGCGGTGAATGCAATTTGACTTGAAATATTAAATGACACGTGCCTGGCATACTGAATGCACTCGTGATTGAATATTGTGGATGTTTGTGAATCACAGCAAGTGCTTAATTAATTTTGATTCTTTTGACATAAGCACAGCTAGCTGCCAAAAGTAGTCAATGGAGCAAATTGTGTTTTAGCTGTTTACTTAATTGGAAAATATTTAGAATCAGTGCTGCACAAAGCCAGTGTTAGTGCCCAATGTTTAAGTGGTTATCGCAATTAGTTTAAGCAATGTGCGCAATTTTTGAAACTCTGATAAAATAATATTTATTTTTAATTATTTTGACTGCGCAGTCGGAAGAGGGAATTTCTCAGCGATAAATCTGGAAGCTCCACTCAACAAAGATTAACTAAAAAAGTACAGCAATTATTTATATTTTTGAAAAATGCGATAAAAATTTATGAAAATAAAAATGCCAATGGGAAAATAAAAAAAAAAAAATAATTTGTTTGTGTATGTCTTCTATATGTATAAATTACATATTATATATATGTTTATTTTATATATTGTATTGTATCCCTTTAGGTGCACCTTTTTAAAGCCATTTATGTCTAATACACCCATCGAAATATTGATTGTAAAAATTGTAAACAAGGAAATGCGACAAAAAGAGGCCAAAATAAAAACTTATATATTAAACTTATATATTATAAAATATAAACAGGAAGATGTACAAAGAAACAAACTTGAAGAATCCCCAAGTATTTTTCAAGTTTCTTAAGGGCTTCGCCATTTTCAGTAATTGTGTGCCCAAACTGCTAACTCATGGCGATTACATGAGTGAATGGATAATGCTATGGGGCGAGAGGAAGAGCGAGCGGTAGAGCTGGCAAGGACTCAATGGAGGCGATGAGTGAGCCAAATGCTGAAGTGGATGAGCCACAAACAGCGTTAGCTGTTAGCTGCTGTTAGCCATGGCAGAGAGACACAAGCCAAAAAGCTGCAAAGCCTGGCAAATGGTCAACTAAATTCAATTGCCGAGTGGCTGGGCCAAATCGATTTGGCAGTCAAAAGGCGTCTCGGGTGAGCCAACTTAGGGGCACCTTGCAACCATTTGCTGCCACTGTTGCAGCCTGATTGACTTTATTTTCTCGTTGTGGGAAATTCGAGTGGCACATAACGCTTGATATTGGCCATGTAACCTGCTCTACTTAGCTACGCATTTAAATCAAATTCCCACTTGCTGCAGCAGCGACGCCCCGTCGCCTGCGCCCGGCTGAACTAAATAATTGTGTATGCTGTGGAAAATTGCCTCCGGTTTGCTGCTGGCGTGTTTCAGTGCATTTTTTCCATGCATTTTTTCTTGTTTAGCTCTTTTTCTATACCACTTTTTAGCTTGTTTTCGCACACACAATTTGCATTTTTGTTGCTGCACATGCAATGGGTGTGATTAACTGCTTCCCTTTGGGTAGCAGGAATTGGCTTATGCCACACTTGGTTAGCTTCGGATCCCAATTGCCGTTGACACTTGAGCTGACTGTTGTTGCCGTTGCCTAATTGTTGTGTAATATAATAGTTGGATCACTCAGCGTGTGACAGCATAATGATTTATTGGATAAGTTGGTAGTTCATAGGGAAGCGAGAAGAAGTCGGTGCTGAATAGCAAGGGAAATTGTTGTATGACTCAAGTATCAAGTATATATTAATAAGTAGAATGCAATGAAGTACAGATAGAATTACAATTGGGTAAACAAAATTATCGCAGCACATATTTCTATGCAAATAAATAAATCAAAACTGTGTATCGTAGCTTCAAATATATGAATTCAATCATGATGAAAGGGCTGCTTAGCATATTAATTCATAATAAATAGAAATAGATAAATAGAAATAGAGAGTGAAAGTTTTTGAAATATTATCTCAGCTGCCAGCCAGAGGCAATGGAGCATTGAAAGTCATAGTTCATAAACATTGTTTAAATTTATGTTTAAACAAAGTCGGGTTACATAACGAAAAGCTCAAACAATAATAGCTTTGAAAATTCAATTCAATTGCTTATTTATCTTAAATCGTATTCGATTCTTTCAGTTAATAATCCAAGAGATATTTCCGATTCATACTTTGAATTCTCTCAAATCGTGCTGCGCAGCTGAATGAATGCCTCAACTGAAGAGAATCGTGATGAATAAGTTCATTAATTGTTTTTCTTTGTGATTTGTTTATACTCACGAATCGAATGAATAAATATTGATCAGCTCGTTTTGCCCGACTTGCGCACACTCAATGCGCATATTTGCATACCAAAGTCTATAATAAAGACATTAGTTAATATCCATGGCTCAGCCTCACTTGAGGCACATCAACATTTAATTAACGCTCTAAAAGCAACAGGCCTCAATTTCAGTGCTTTGCCAATTTGAAGTGGCCATAATTGCTAACTGAATTGTTATCAAATGCTTTGCACATTTAGTTGCGAATTGAGCTTCAGCCAGACATCGTCATAGACGACCCAAGGATTGAAGAGCACTCAAAAGTACTCACACTTAGACAAACCTTTAGCAGCGATTCTTGATATATAGTTTGAATTGATGAAGTGGAAGGCAAACTTAGTTTGGCTTGTCAACTGAAGCAGTAAAATTGATGTGAGGCTGATCTCAGTTTACGGATGTCAGTATTACAATAAATGATATGCAAATATAGGCCACAAATAATGTTAATTACAAACGAACTTTGGGTTAATGGCAGTTTATACCCTGTAATTCTAAAATTGTTTAGGAGGAATATTAAGGCTATATATGTGCATATATAAATAAATACAGATAGCTGTCATGGCTGTCTTGAATACATCTATTGTCAAACTCAGCTGTTATTATAGGGTATTTTTCTAGTCTGCAATTTAGCTTTAAACTACTTGTTGCTTGCTTTCCTTCAGTCTTTTGGTAGAAACAATGCATTTAGTTGCAAACCAAAGAGTCTAGTGTCTGGCTGACTTATCTTTGTTTAGATTTAGATTTAGATACTTGTGGAAATTTATTAACAAATCCGGTTTACCTATAATGTGTGTGCAGCGACGTACCTGAAGTGAACTACGCCCAAGAGGAGAAGTTTAGCCCTACCTAAGTGAGTTAGATGCAGGCTAAAAATGAGCAGATATTCTTTGGGTATTTATGGGAAATTTCTTAGACATGCGGGCAACAAAATGTTTGGGCAGAAAACTGGGAAGTTTCGCGCAAAGGTATTTATGTAGATTAGGTATAATATGAATGTATGTATAGTATAGTTCATGCAATCAGTCTGTCAATGCAACTTCAGACTATAAAAGAGTATTTAATCTGCGAATGCTTTTCAGCAGCAGTGTGATTATGTACTTACATATATAATATAATATATATACACACATATTGCTTGCCCTAGACTGTGCTCACTGCCCATCCAGACAATGTTCAGACAGTGGTTATTAAGTGCTGCTCCTGATCACAGACAATTTGCGCTGCAAGGTCAGCTTCAAGTTGGCCCTGGCCAGAACAAAAACCTGCCAACTTTGGCATAGCTCGCAAGGAAGAGAACAATAAAAAAGCCGTCAGATCCAGTTTGCGTTTCTTGAGTGATGCACAACTAATACCAAAGCTTTTGGTTGCTATGTAGGTACCAAGGTATAGTATATAAAATAAAAACGTACCTCACTTATCACCGTGATAGAAGCTCTGCAGCGGCAGAGTGAGAGAGAGATATGTAAACAAAAATTGTCAAAAATATTGGGCAGAGAGATGCGCATACTGATAAAATGGCAAGCAGCGGAGGCATCTGGTACAGCTGCTGCTGCATAAATTATCAGGAGGCAGAGACAATGCTCATTATCAGCCAGACGTAGAGAGCGAGAGAGAAAGAGAAAGAAGGAGAGAGGCAAAGACACAAGAAACAGAGAGAGGCTCACATGCAGAGGTAAAGCAAAAGAAACAGAGAGAAAGAGAGAGAGATAAGTGCAAGGGCGATAGCATCTCAGTTGCCGGACTTGGTTTTTTCCTTCTGTTTCTCACATTTTTTGTATGGTTTTGGTCAGACTGCGCCAGACTGCGTTGACTTGTTGTCCACAAGAACCGAGCGAAGCAGCGACTGAGACGTGACTCCCGATTTCTATTGGATGCGGCACAACCTGTCATAATTATCGCCGGGCAACGCATTCAGTCAGTCAGTCCATCAACGTCTGCGAGAGCCTCAACATGTGGCTGCTGCTGCCGATTATCGCCTACTCGGCGATCTTTCTGTATGTGCGACACATCTATAGCTATTGGCGACGCAAGCGCTTCCCGAGCGAGCACACATCGTTGTCCTGGCAGTTTCTCACGCTGGCCTACCAACGAGAGTTCCGGCACGTGGAGGCCATATGTGAGGCCTACCAGGAAGGGCGCGATCGTCTGTTTGGCATTTACTGCTTCTTTCGACCCGTATTGCTGGTGCGCCAACCACAGCTGGCCTTTAGCATTCTGCAGCAGTCGAATGGCCACTTTACCGAGTCCAAATGGGATTGCGTCAAGGGCTACAGACGCTTCAACTTGCTGGAGAAACTGTCGCCCATGTTCAGCACAAGGCGTCTGTCCTCCATGTTCAGCAATGCTCAACATGTGGCCGACCATATGATGCAGTACCTGGCGAAAAGGGAGGAGCAGGGCCAGCTGGAGTTGGATCTGCAGCACCTGATGAGAATGTAAGCGAAGAAGACTGAGCCTAACTAAAACTTTAATTTATACTAACATTTTTGATCTGTCTTCCTCTAGATATGCTGTCAATATAATAGGCAATCTGGTCTACGGCTTGGACGTGAACAACTTCGTGCAAAGGGATCACCTACTCAATAGCTATGTGCAGCATCCTTCGCAATACGGTGCACTGCAATCATTGTGAGTATCAATTTGGTAGCAACTCAACATGCAACTAATATTTGCTATGGGGCACAGCACGCTGAGAGGCATGCCACAGAAGTCGTCGCTCGCCTATCGCCTCATAGACATCATTAAGCACAATGTGGAGCAGCGCGAGGAGAACGGCATCATACGCAAGGACATGCTCCAGCTGTTGGTCAAGTTTCGCAATGGCAACGATCTCAGCAGCGACAAGTGGCAAATCGAGCATGCCATTGGTTAGTTAAGCAACGCCTTCCTGCCACACTTTAGCTGATGTTTGCTCTTGCCCCTTCTTGCAGAAGAGGACAAGCTGATGTGCATCAAGCGACTGGCTAAGGTAGCCGAGGACCTAATGCACTCTGCTTTGGATGGCATTGCCTCCACCATAACTCTGACACTCTATGAGATTGCCCAGCAGCCGCTGATTGTGGAGAAGCTGCAGACCGAGATCCAGGAGCTCAATTTAAAGGATGGCCAACTGGCGTTCGAGCAATTGATGGGGCTCAAATATATGGATATGTGTGTGAAGGGTGAGTGCTTTGAGATGCGGTATTTGGTTGACATAAATGCGACAAAATAAGAGGTATAAGAGCATATTATAGAGGCAATGAAATAATAGTCTTAAAAGATATAGCTACATATTGGAGAGAATACTTTAACAGATTTACTAGGATTATCTATGTCTTATTCTTCTTCAACAGAGTTGAATGTCCTTATTGACTTTTGCGTCACCATAGTACTTTTACAGCATATCTATCGTAGTTATTGTGTAAACTGCTTTAACATCGTTAAACTTGAAGGTTTCATTGCAAGATTTGCTTTGAGTAATTTTGTCTTTAGCTACACACTATTATCATATCAGATCTTAGCTCTATCGAAAGCAAAACAAGATATATATTTGCATTATTTACGGTAGATATATTTTGCCCCCCTTAGAGTAGAGTTTGTCATGGTTACATCCCAGTCTTAAGCTTCTTGTCCCTTCTTATTGATGCCTCCAGTGTGGCTTACTTTCAACAAGTTACATCTCAAACTTAATGCCCCAATTTTTCTGCTCCACAGAAACGCTGCGCAAGTACCCGCCAGTGCCCATAATAGAGCGCGTTTGCCGCAAGCGTTACACGCTGCCCGGCAGCAAGCTGAGCATTGGCGTGGGCAAGACGTTGATGGTGCCGCTGCTGGCCATACAGCGTGATGGCAGATACTTCAGCGAGCCACTGAAATACAAGCCACTCCGTTTTCTACACAACCAGCCCGACGGAGGAGGCCAGCAGTGTCCTTCGGTTATAGCGAGCTTTGGCATAGGCGGGGCTCAGTGCGTGGGTAAGTGGCACACACCTTCGAAGGTAAACAAAAACTAACGGAGTTTCCCACCGGCAGCACAAAACTTTGCCAAAATGGTCATTAAGCTGGCGCTTGTCAGGCTGTTGCAGAGCTATGATCTGGAACTGGATGCGAGTGCTATGGTCGAGGTCTCACATCTGCCGGCGCCATTTATTAGCTCCCCAGATGGACTGAAAATTCAACTGAAAGCGCGTGAAATCCTAAGGCAAAGCAATTATCGCAAATGTTCAATTTAGAAACGAATTTAATTTATGCAGCACTTGACGTATTTGCCCTTATTTTCTCCTTCTATAATTTTTCAACACTTCATCTAAGCATTGTGTGTTGCTAGCTGTGAGCACCTAAAAATATGCCATAAATAAAAGCAGTAAATTATGGCTTCAAATTGGGTTGTTGTTGTTCTTGTTGTCTGTTCATTTCGCTTCGTTAGCCGTAGCATGGTAAATGCCAAAGGTCCTTGGTCCTTGTGCGCGAAGCGAGCACACGCGGCGTATACGCAACGCCGTTAAATTAGACATTCTATGTGCTTGTTGTTCGCATTGTTGCTGGCTCTGCTGCCGCTGTTGCTGTTGTGGAAAACTCATCAAGCGTAAAAGACATGTTCAAGCACATGAGCTTATCATTAAATTTGATTTGCTTTATTGCCAATACACATGACATGCGGCATTGTCTGATTGGAGCCGAAATGGAAATCTGCAAAAGTCACATGGAGACACTCGGTCTCCGTACTTTATCAGCTGGCCCAAGTGTCGCCTTGCTGCTGTTGGCCATCCCAGTTAGCTAGCCACTAACGAGACCACAATTAGGCCGCATTATGAACTCATTTATCAAGTTGGCTGAGGATGGTATACTATGCGTGCGATAAAAGCTTATACAGCTAGCAATTGCAATCAGTGCAAAGCATTTTGCAAACTGTACAACCGACTCCTAACAATCTCTCCTCCGGCTCAATCTTATGGCCGGGCATTAAATTAATTGCGCTCTGTGGGTGACCAGCAGCCAGAGTCTAGACTTTGAACTTGCACGGAGACACAGCGGGCAAAGGAGCTGCTTGTAATGAGCCGGAAATTGTATTTCTGGCTTCTAATGGCACACGAATTATTAATTGCGTACACGGCTGTGTGGACTCAAAGTGAGTCCATAGAAGTCGATAATGTGAAGTGAAGTGTGGTTGCTCCTTTATAATAATTATTAAGTGAAATTGCAAATGTAATATATATAATTTTAATATGTTAGATTTAAGGAATATATATTGAATGGATTGACCTCTACAGTCCATATTACTATAACCATAAAAACCATCTAATATAGTATACATCTCTCTGGCAAGCTCTCTTCATAATGGGATCAGTTTCGGTCTTCCAACTTTTAAAGTCTCTCTCTCAGTTTTACTCTAGCTATCAAAAGCCAGAGTTCACGTCGTCAGCCGAGTATACAAAATTAAAGAGCTCACAGAATACGTGAGTTTTAACTTGAAAGGAAAACAGCAAGCACTACAACAACAACAATCAGATGAAGCCCGCTCTTCACATGCACTGACCCAGTTGCCACATGTCGAGGCACCGAATATAAATTGCTTGGCAGATTCGCAACAAGATTTCCTCGTAGATTTGCCCAGGCCTCTAGGGACATGGGTGTCAAAAAAGAGAAGAGAATAGAGAGCTCTTCGTGCAGGCACCCAGCTGCTCGCTGGCATTGTCCTGGTTACATTTAAATATTACACATTGCATATTAAGTGGTCAAAAAGGGCATCCCCGCCGCACCACTTCGCGCCCCTTGTTAAGCTTTAAGAGCGCAATATAAAGCAGACGAAGCGGCGTGAAATATGCGAGCGCATAAAAATTTCATTTACATACTAGAGCGAATGAGAGCGAGAGCGACGGCGAGAGACAGATAGAGTGAGAGAGAGTGGGAGCAAGAGAGACGGAGAGGTTCGAGTCAACCCAGTGGCATAAATTAAGAAATATTTCTCTCTTGGCGACATTTGACATGGAGAAATTACTTAAGTGTTTGCTAATTTTTTATGTAAATTGAAATTTTTTTTGCCTTTTTAGCGTATAATTGGCATGTGAAATATGCGCTGCAAGAGAACCCCAATTAGCAGCATATTTACTTACCATAATTCAAGACTTTTGTGTGGCTCTGCACCAACTGTGAACTGAAACGGAAAAGAGAAACACAAAATGTTAAATATTAATTTGCATTTGTAAAAAGTTTTCTGTAATACATATTCAATGTTTGTTGTTGCTCATTTTTATCTTTATTTTTTCTCATGTACCATGTAAACAGGTTCATTTGTTATTGAATTCAGTTAGTTAAAGTTCATTACTGCAGTTTGTTATTGAACTTTAGGCATGGCTTAAAAAAACAAACGTTTATAATGAACATTTCAATGAAAACTTGAACTACTTTTGGGAGAGACAACAAACGCCAAAAGAGAAAGATACTAAAATAAACAAGTTATGCGTGAAGTTGCAAGCACTAAAAGGTGCACTAAAAGATACCCTGTAATATATGTAATATAATAAATAAGTAAATATGTCGGTGTTGTGTCAAAGTCATCGCCATCCAATTTCATTAAATACTTCACATGAGACTCTTCTCTTGACTGGCTAGTTCTACTCCCCTTTTGTGTACAGAGAGTTCAGCGAGCTATTTCAATCTAGCATAGCAGCTACAGAAATTGCTTCTGTCTATCGTCAGCTCATTCGGATAATACTTTAATAACTCTCTGCAAGCTCTGCGCCTCTTACTACATGAAATCCTGCAGCAGTAATCAGGGACCGTAACGATTATAATTTTTATAGCAAAAAATTAAAAAATAATAATTATTTTTTGATAAATAAAAAAAAAATTATATTTAATTATTATTTATTATTTAATTACTGCCAGTAATAAAACACAATCAAGCAAAAAATTGAACAGAATTAGAAAACTGTAAACGACAATAATAGAGGAGAAGCAACTACAATAGCAGAGACTCTGTTATCCATTTTACAATATTACAACTGAAAAGAACAGCTATATGCATGCATACATTCATACAAATATGTATAGAGATATTCATATGTTAGTATGAGAAACTTAATGATTGGAGACTTATTGATAGTCTGAAAACTATTATAGCCTCAACTAGCCAATGAAATATTCAATCTATTGCAATCTCACAAATATCATACCCGACTTTTATCATTGCTCACAGGGCATACGATATAAAAAATGTGATGACAAAAACTACACGAACCTGACATAAAAGGTTATCAGCCGCGTCTCTTTTAATTAACCAATTGACATACGACTTTTGTCTGCTAGTTTGTTGTTCAGCCGTTTGTTGTTGTTGTTGTGAATTGTTTGACAAAAGTTGTGCAAACTTTGGGAGCATTTTAAAAAAGTTTTTAACAATAAGTAGACAAAGCAAATTCAGTATGAAATTAATAGAGAGATTAATAGCGCGCAGTCAATTTTTATTAGAAACCTTACTGTGCTTCAAGCAGTTGAGAAGGAAATCTTAAGATTTATTATGCCATTATATAAAGGCTTAAATACATACTTAAGCTTTATAAATTAATTTTATGAACTTCTCAAAGTCTTTTATTTGGCTTCTAATGAGGCAGCTAAGCCACCGTTCAGGTTTGGCTGAAAGAGACGCGGCCATTCTTATGAGTGGCATTACTACACACTTACTTCTCTTTTTGGGTTCCCACTGAACTCACTTGGCTCATCTTAACTCTGAACTTTGAACATATTTTGTGCATATTCACTTAACCACTTCTCTTAATTCGACACTTCACTCTGCCTCTCCGCGTGCTTCAAAAGGTGCCCATGCAGCGACCCACGCGACCTCAGGGTTACACAGTAATAAAAATAAATAAGAGTCAGACATTCTTAACTTATATACATATGTATATATACTATATATATGTATGAGTATACACTTTATTTGTACAACAATTAAATATTTTAACTGTGTGTGTGTGTGTGTGTAAAACATTGTTATCATGCTGATCTTGGTGAGTAACTGCTAAGCAGACAAACAAATTGTGAGGGACAATTATTGCTGTTGTACTCATGCTTATAGAGTATATATACAAAGCATTAAGTACACTAAAAAAAACACAAATAGAACGAAAATAATTTTTTTTGTGAAAAATAACAATTCAAAAATATTAAAAATTTTCTTTTTTTTATACAAAATATTTATAAAATTGCTTGCACAATTTATGATAATTTTTAATGTCTCTAATAATATTTTGTTCAGTGTATTTATATCATGCACTAACTCTGTTGCTGCTTTGGACTCTTGATTTTCTGTTAACTTCTTTGGTTAGCTGACTCGCTGGCTGAGCCTGGGGAAGCTGGGGGTTGACTTTTTCAATTTGTGTTCGGCGTTGCATACACACATGTATACAGAATTGCCACAGCAACGCATAACGTGTAACGTGCAACGTGCATCGTGCAACATGCAGCCAAAGATGACGCGGCTGCTTCTTTTGATGCTGCTGCTGCTGCTGGTGCTGCTGGTGCTGGTGCTGCGTGCAGCTGCTTTGCTGTTTGTTTTATTTATGTTGTTGGTTTGTTTGTTGGCCTGATTATTGTTGTTGTTGTCACAATTGTTGCTGCTATAGCTCGGTTGTTCTCATTGTTGTTGCTTCTTTAATAATTGTCGCAACGGTCGCCTGCATTTGCTGCTTCTGTGTGTGTGTGTTTACTTATTTATATTTATGTATATTTTTATCTGTTTCCGACTTTTAATTAATTTATGTCTGTGTGAGTATGTGTGTGAGTGTGTCTGTGAATTCCTTTAGGCGCTTAAACAGTGCGTTAAATTCAGCCAACAGACTGTATATGTAGACATACCTATATATATATATATATATATATATATGTATAGTTAAAGCTGGGAACGACAGGTAATGACTTTTTAAATGTAATTTGCTCACAAAGTGCAATGCATTTACATTGACTTTACTCATTTGTAAGGGCTTAAGGCAGTGTACAAATTATATCAAAAATATATTTTTTAAATAAATATGAATGTCACTTTTCATCTCTTTCATTTGAATAATAATTGATGATGTCAATATATATTCTTCAGCTCTGTATAGTTATCAAAGCAAATTAAAATAGCATAAAGTGTTAATTTAATAAATAATATTATTTATAATATATTACATTTACACACAATAAATCTTCATATTGAATGTGTATATTTTGCCTATATTTTTTAAATTTATTAACAATATAAATAATTAATTAATTAATTTAATAAATATTATTTTTTTATAATATATTACATTTACACACAATAAAACTTCATATTGAATGTGTATATTTTGCCTATATTATTTTAATTAATTAATAATCTATTTGTCAACATTTTCTTAA